CTGCGGGGCTTCACAAGCAAGTGAAACCAAAGGATCTCCGTGCACATCGGGAAGATGCCATTCACCAGGCTGGCTTTGTGCAGAGCTGCATGCGGTCCCCGGCTGTCCCCCACCCCGCGCCGCCCTCCCAGCCCGTCCCCAGCCTGGCTTTGCTGCAAACGAGCTCCCCCCCCCCTTCCAACCTGCAAGTCCCCTTTGGATGTAGGTGCAAAAGCCATATATTGTACGCAGCCTTTTCTAGAGTTAGGTATTTAACGATTGGCTTTTAACTCTTGATCTTGATAGAAATACATGCACAGGTCAAAATCTAGAGACACCGCTCAATCTATATTCAAAGAGAGAAAAGAAAACTCCACGGAGAAAAAAGGAGAATTTAAATAAAATATATTTTTCTAACATGCGTGCAGAGCGGACATGGGCAGCAATGCCAGAGCTGGGGGCTCCCGGTCCCCGTTTCTTTGCACGCAGAGTCTCTGCAGGGCTGCTGGGAGCCAGAGGTGGGCGAATGTATTTATAGGGAGCAGCTTCCCTGTTTTTAATTCTTCCCTTGACAAATGGCTGGAGGTTTTCCAGGAGAGCGGGTGAGCCCCATCCCGGCAGCGGGAATCGAGCTGACCCCATGCTCCTTCGCTTGCGGTGGCCCCGGGGCTGCCTACCTCGGTCAGAACAAATCCTCAGGTCAATCCAGCTATTAAAGGAGAGATTTTGTTGCTATTCTGCCTTCCCGTGTGTTTGTGGGGCCGCCCGAGCACCCCGGCATCCCCCACCCATCCCAGACCAGGGGCTGGATGTCCCCCGGCATGTGGGAGTGACTGGCGGACGGCTCCTCTCCCCCTGCCTTTAATCACATTAGTGTTATTCCTGCATCTAAACCACTGACAACGCAACCAAAGTGGCTCCTTCTTGGGAGTTTTATTACCTTTATAGTGTCCTTAAACACAGGTTTATTCGGGTGCGTGGTGGTAGCAGGGAGATTTACTGCGGGCTTTATTCCCGTTGCCTCCTGTCCTTCCTCGGCTCTGGAGCAAGAGCAGGCTCAGTGCAATTTATTCCTTTTCTCTTGGCCACTTGCCCTCTTATCTGGAGTTGGTGAAAATGCCTTTTTTTTATAGCGTTGGGTTTGCAGCGATCGACACGCATGCCGGGCATGATTTGTTCTGACAGGCATCGTCTGCGGAAGGGACAGCGTTCCCTTCCACCCCTCGGAAGTAATGAAACCCAAAAAGCCAATTAATCTCCAAGATAAAACAATTAAGAGACAACATTGTGTGCAGCCACCATGCTCTGGGTCCTGGGCTGCAGCTTGTAAGGCGGAAGGGGAGGCGTGGGGAGCGGGGAGGGGGGCTGCCCCCAGCCTAGCGACCCCCAGCATGGGGATCCCCCCATCTGCACAGCCCGGGGGGCACCGCCGCCTCCACCAAACCCCTTCAGAGCCAACAGTGAAAGGACAGAGGAAGCTCCCTGAGCACCAGCTGTATCAGCTTACCTTTTTTATTCCCCCCCTCTCTTTTTTTTTCCCCCCCCCCCCCCCCGTGGCTTTAAGGATCGCTGGAGCTTAATGCCTTTATTTCACTGCAATTGCTTTTTTTTTTTTTTGCAATGAAATGGAGCAATTGGAAGTCATTACCTCCCCGTAAGTGTGGGCAGCACCTCTGGCTGCCCACGCACACACACGCACCCCTGGCTCACGGGGGTCCGTGCCCTCGCCTCGATCCTGGCTAACGCGGGATCACCGTCCTGCCGGCGGCTGCTCACCCCGCACGCGCAGCCAAGCCGCAAGCAGAAACTGAAGTTTTATGTTTTGTTTTATTTTATTTTTATTTATTTATTAAATGCCAGTCTATTTTTTTTACCACATGGGACTGGCAGGCAATAATAAAATTTATATTACCCCTGGAAAGAGAAGCCAACCATCCTTTCTGCATCATTTCCATGTGCAAAGCTCTTGACATGTAATAGCCGCCCGGCTCGGCTGCCTCCATAATGCCATTAGCCTGGCTCGTTGGAGAGCACCAAAATGTGCAGGCAGGGTAGGCAATGCTCAGCGTTTTCACGATGATTTTTGAAAGCAGCAAATCTTTCTGCTTGACTCAGCCTCGGCGAGTCCTGAGCATCCCTGGGCGGGAGCAGCCGGCTTGCACGGCCCCTGTGTGGGGCTGGGGGCTGCCCGGGGGGGGACCCTGATCACCCTCCCCAGCTTCCTGCATTAAAAAAAATCATCTTTTTTTCTGCAGTATCTCATCCCCGGGAGCGTTTTCCTGCCTCCCCGGTCCTGTGCTGGCGGAGGCTGCAGCATCCTCCCTCCCGGGCTGGTTACTCAGCTGTTGCCCTAGCAACGGCGTCTGCACCAAAACTCCCTGCATTTCCCCCAATTCCATGTGGGTTTTGCACTCAGCAGGCCGGTCCCTGCGATGGAGGAGATGATGCTGGAGGAGATGATGCCAAAGAGCGGCTCGGGCTGAAGCTCCCTTCCCCGGCCAAGGCAGCGGATACCCCTTTGGGGTGAATTCAGGGGGTTCTGGGCAATGACCCCAGCGATGCAAATGATGCTGGGAGGCTCAGAGCAGGTCGAAGGGAAGAGTGTCCCTTCGTCCCAAATTAAATCATACACGAAGTTCATGCTGCTGTTTAAATGAGCGGGAAATAACCTACCTCAGCAGCATAATACAGAAGCTGCGACAGCACTTTCACAAAAGCTCTATAATGTAGGGGAGATGCGAGTTATAAATCTGAGCAGCAGTAATATTCACCCCTGACAAGAGAAGCATGTTTATTTATTGGTTTTACTATTTTCCGTAAAATTTACAGCTGACAATCTGCCTGAATACAGCAGAGATAATTTAAACATGGCTCCAACCTGCCTGGCATCAAGGAAAGGGAAAGGGTAACATGTTTTTTTTTTTTTTTTCTTAATTCCAATTCCAAATAAAGGGAGTGATTTATCAGAGAAGGAAAGCACAGCTTTATTTCAGGGCCGTGACAGCTAATTGAAAAAGAGCAGTTATTAAGGATGGTAATGTGTTCCACAGAAATGATTTTGGTATATTCTGGAGTAATTTCCCAACCACTCATGTGAAATGAGACCCAGCCCCAAGTTTTGGGGCCCTGCGAGCGGTGGGTAATTACGGGGATGCAGCAGTGGGGAGGGGGCATGGAGAGGCACGAGGCAGGTTTGGCACACCGAGAGGATGCACCGGGTGAGGACCGGTCCTGCTGTGGGCTCCCAGCGTGCTGTGGTACCGTCACCAGGGGCCCGGGGTGCTGAGCCCTGCAGCACGTGGGGCACGTGGGTCCCTGATGGGCTCGTGGGGTAGGGAGAGGTGGGAGGGCTGGGGCCG